TTGAAAGATTCGAGAAGTCAGAGACTGGGTAATTGCATTTGACAATGTTGACTTAAAATATGGGCAAGATACAATGATGCTATTAATTTAGAAACTTATGTAGACAGTGAATAGATATGAAAATACATCTTTAGAGATTGGATAAAGGTCTCTGAAGCACGCATGAAGCTTCAAGGCATATCTTTCCTCCAAAACCATCCTTTAGGATTAAAGAAAAGGAAAAAAAAATTATAGTCCCTGGGACTGTCAATTTAGAAAAAAAAATGGGAAAGATATGGACAGTAAAGTAGGTAGGAAGCTAGCTAGAATGTAAAGGGTATGTGTTTGTTCTGGGCTTGTTTGTGCAAAGTTGCTTAGATTGGGGGGCAGATCTCACATTGTCATTAGCAACCTAGGTTTTACTAAAGAAAGGTCTGATGACACACTATGATAGGCAAACAAAACAGAGAACAAAAGATTAAGACTGTAGAACTGGAATACATCAAGAAATTAATTACATAATTAGCTGTCTTATAGGCAAGACCACAAAATTAAAGAAATGTCCACTATTTTGACAACAGATGATGCAATTCTGTGATACCAGCTGTTCTTGTGATGTCAATGTTTTCTGCGAATACATAAAATGGATAAATATTCAGAGGCGGTAGTTCATTTGAATGACCATGCTCACAAAAAAAAAAAAGGATATTAGCCAACCATAAATATATGTATATTGAAAATAGGAAGCTGTAGTGGTTGAAGCCCAGCTGGTAACTCCAAACCATGCAGCTGCTCACTCTCTCCCCCTCCTTTCCCCACCCCACCTCCCCACCCAGCACTCACAGAGTGCAAGATTAGAGCAATCTTTTGATTGGAATAGTGCAGAGTTTAGTTTCTGCACACAGAATAGGACTATTCTTATCAAAATTTGGAGATCAAAGATGGAGACATTTCTGAGCTAGTTGTTCAAGACTCTATATGCAAGAGATGGGTTTCTAGAGTTTTTTCATCTGTCGAATCTAGATGCCTTTTTTTAGGAGAAGATAGATTATGCCAAAGAACAGTTTATTTCTTTCCATCATCTACAATGGGAATCTAGATATCTGCACTGTAAACATCTGTATGGGGTAAAATGAATTCCACCTGGTATCTTGACATAAATACCACAGAAATCACAGAAAATCTGATGTCAGTGAATGTTGGATACGGCTTTGAATACATCAGTAAAGATCTGTCTTCATTTCTTCTTTGAAATAATACTGGAAATACTGCTTTGTCTCAGAAGTTATTTGAGTGTTGACTCTTAATTTAAAAAGTGTTTACCCCTTTGGGCAATCTTAGTTGTTATTTCACCCTTGAAACTCTGCTGAGTCACAAGGATAGCAATAAAAGCTCTTGTTTGCTCAGCATGGCCTAGAGGTTATCAGAAACTTATAAGAAATTAAAGAGGAGAGTTTTTCCATATATTGCAAACTGCAAACTATACTCAGCAAAATGGCAGGATTAATCTCCCCTTATCAAAAACACTACTAAGTCAGTTGCAATTGGGTGGTATACATGCTTAAGAATAAAAAAGTTTGTACCTAAATTTACATAAATGGAGAAAAGCTTTATCTTTAACAAGCATCATACTTTGATACTCCCTTAATCTAGCTACAAATATGAAACTTAATAATAGTATCTAGAAGGAATAGGAGAGAGCAAACAGAAAATGCTCTGGATTGAATTCAGGCCCCATACAAGTCAAAAGTAGTTTAACCACTGATTTAAAAATATCTGTGCTTTTAGCCATTACTGTTTCCTATGAGAATCCAAGCAGTCATACAGCAGATCCTCACAGATGCAAAATCCACAGATGATGTTTGCTTTATAGAAGTGTTCACTTTTATTATAGTTTTGTTTCATGAATACATTACATAATTTTCATGACACTTCAAGGTTTATCATAAATATTTTAGGGCTTAAACTAGAAGACCTGTTGAATAACAATAAACCTACTTCTCCTTCAGTTTATTCAAAACTCATCTCCATTGCAGCAATTGATATGAATGTTGTTTTGGTTTTTTCCACAATGAAAATAAGAGTAGATTAAGAAAAAAAGCAACAACCCTGTTTCTTCAAGTTTCAAACCTACTGATAATCAAGAGGTGTTTCTTTATGTGTGAGGTTTGCCAGCCAAAGCAAAGATACTCTGACTTTGCAAATGGAACCTGTGTTGCAATGAAATAGATGATAAGTTTTATAACAAATTTACTTCATTAGCTTGCACAACTAATCACCTTCTCTGTTTTGTATTGCTAGTGTTGTTGTGGTCTTCACCCTTTATTTTAACTACATGGTAACCGCTGAGAAAGTGAAAAATGAGCTGGTTTTGGGTATCAACTCAAATAAAACTAGTCTTACTCAGACACTAAAAATTGATGTGAACAGCATACAAGTCACAGGTAAGGCTGGTAAACACTTTTTCTCTATATAAATCCTTGAGAACTACAGGTAACAGGAATGAAAACTTCCACTCCCAGCCAGCAAAGAGATTGTTACTTACAGTCGTTGGTACCCTCTTTCCCCATTAGAGAACTTACAGTAACATCTAAAAGAACCATTTACAATCGTGTCAGCTGGAAAGTATGTCAGCAATGAGTAAAGATAAAGTAGTGATTTCCCAGTGAAAACCACTCAATTTCATCTCTTTTATGTAGTATAACATTTGTGATTTCATTACCACTCAAATTAGAACAATTAAGCCTCAACAATTTTGTTTCATAAGTAAATGCTATTTTGTTTTTCTAAAGAGTAAGGGCCCAGCCTTACAGTGAGTGAAGATTGATTTATTGAAAAAATGTCAGTCAGAACGTACTGAGTAGAGTGTGGCTTCTGGAGAAGCATGCCCAAGGAACTGACCTCATATTCCTCATAAACTTATGTAAAGTGTAGATGGAAAAAAAGGAATGTGGCTTTTAAGTAGTTTTAAATTTTGCAAATATACAAATATAGTGATTTTATGTAAGCAGTAGAAGATTTATCAAAGCCTGTGTGGAAGCCAAACAAAATCAGTGGGAATCCTTGGTTTTACCTCAAAAAGCTTCAAACCAGATCTTTACTGAGGATGAGCATAAAAATTAATTTGACTCCTTTGAAGTGGCAGTTGATCAGCTGACATTTGAAAACATGCTGGGGATACTATTAAGTAGCAACTGATTGCTTTATGAGGGGTGGGATATCTGATGTGCGATGTCTCTTACTCTATTCTAAAATGTACATTTTTTGCTAAGTATATCAGATATTTGAAGGCTAAATTCAGAGTCTTGACATCTTTGTTTTTCTTTACTATTTGCACCACATTTAAGAAGTTGTTGTAAATACCTGCACATCACTGTGGAAAGTGATTGCTTATTATACTTTAAAAATGCCACCAAAGAGAATTATGAAGAGCTTTTTAAAAGGTTGTATATCTATTGATGAACTTTGGAGTAGTTAAACTTTTCTTGCTGTGGATCATTAAAATCCCCTTTTCACTTGAGATATCATCTGTCCATTCCATCTGCAGTGCTTCGACAAAATAACAACCGTAACTAATTAACATATGGCACTTTTTCATCCTATATCTCAATGTGTTCTGCAAGTCTTATTCCTTTTTCAGAGAGGGAGAGAACTACAACACAGGTGTAGCTTGATTGAAATCATGGTTTGCACAGTGATTAAAAGTAACTTACTTTCTTGCAAATTACCCCAGGTTAATTTTAACTCATTTCTATGATCTAAATAATGTTTTATAAGACACAGGTGCTCTGAAAATCTCCATAGATTTCCCAGATGAAGACATTTTATATGCAATACAATGAATGGGGATTGAGGATTGAAAGGTGTTGATATAAACCTTTCCTCCTTAGGAAGATCATAGAGTTTGAGAAAAGGTTGGGAACAGGGTAAGGTGGTCATAATGAGGAAATTGGGATGCTGCTAGTGATTCAAAAGAGAGTCACAGCTGATTTTTATTTTTTTTTTATTTCCTTTCTTTGAGTTGTATAAAAGGAGATACAGTGCTATAAAAGGAATTTATAATGAACTTGTTTTCTTCCAGTAACTGCTGAAAATCTTACTACAATGATGCCGTTAACTTCAGGTCAGTATCTCTCAGTAAACAGAAAATATTTTTTGTCACCAGTACAACATGAAAAAACATAAGACTTGCTGTTTGGCTGGTATAACTTAGTAAAGCTGCCTTGGCTGTAGTTGGGTCTTGAAAGCAAGGGTCCATTCAGTGATAGTTAGCCACTGATCTGAAGTCTGTACAAAAGCTCTAAGAGCTTAATTAGTGGATCGAAGCAAAACTTGAGTCTCCGGCAACCAGCTGAGTTGCAAGCTGAAGTTTTTTCATATTTAAGTAGGTAGATGAGGTTGGGGAGTCCCACTCTCATGCTGTGGTTATGAATATACTGGGCAATGTTGATTGATAGACTTTCCTTCCACTATCACTGGAAGTCTTATGACAGTATGAAACAGATACATCTTGATCTCACAAATTCGCTGAGTACCAACCTCCCAAAAGTCAGCCAGACATCTGAATAATACAGTAGATGGTTTGTAGATGCAGGTAGGGTTGTCACATACAAACTGCATAGAAATTATCACGTACAGATTCTCCAGGACAGAGTGCCAGACCAGGTGCTTCGTGCAACTTATGTGAGCTAAAGATATGCACCTATGAATATAGGAGCCAAGTATTTATTTATAGTCTAATTGCAGCCATAATAAAGAAAGAATTGTTATTACTCTAGTTGCAGGCCTACTAACATGTGTAGTCCAAAGTGTATAATTACTACAGCTTATTCCTAATGATACAATTAAAACTGCTAACATACAAATTTTCTCCTATGTATCTCTGTCTCTGGTATCCTGTCTCTGTGCTCCCCTGAGCTGTAAGTTCAATGTTGCTAATTATCCTCAAGAAGAATTGTAGCGGGGGAGAGGGAGGTGACAGAGGAAGGAGGGAGTTGGGAGTTGTCAGGACCCCAGGCGGGAAGGGGAATGTTCCTGGTGTGGATTCCTTTTTCTCCCTTGGGTCTGGGGTTTGCTTGGGGTCATTTTTGCATGTTTGCTAACACTGTCTGCTTCCTTGTTCTTCCTGTTTCACTCCACAATATACCCAAATATTGCCATATGTGGTATATTTACATCTGCTGAATGCTTGGGTTTTGGCTCTATTGACCCTAAACCCATCCTTATCCACCTCACATGTTACTTTAGTGATACTGTGCAGTAATTGAATATTTTTGATTTGTGCTTATACCACTGATGCCTCTGTCACTATCCTGTGCTTTTCCTTTCATGTTTTATGGTTTCAGCCTATACGTGCACTTTTGAGAGTGCCTGTAACAATGCAGATCTTTTTCAACAGTTTTCAAGACTGTTCTGTTAGAACTCCTTGCTTCTGCATGTATCCGTGTTTTAGATCTGTTTCATTCCTTCCTTTAGACAGATATGTAACTAAACACATATATAGGTATACAACACATATGTGTGTGTATATGTATACAACACTTTGGCAACTACTGTGAAGGTATGAATGAAGCTTCCTTCTCTGAATGTAGCTGAGAAGAGTCCATCCAGCTGCACAGTCCCTGCATCTTCTGCTGGGCTCTCCTCTCTCTCTGACAGAGGAACTGTGTTCTTAAACTTCCTGACATAGAATGCTTTGTAATCCATTTAATACATAATGACCCAGCTTAGTTTAATAGCGTTTGCTAGACAAGCATGCTTTAATAGGAAATTGGTAGGAAGTCCTCATGCAAGTTTGTGCACTTCTAGGTTTGGGAAAGCAGGAACACCTAACAAAAGCGTGATGGCTGATGATGGCAGGAGCACCTAACAGAAGTGTGATGGCTGATGATCGCAGAACACCTAACAAAAGTGTGATGGCTGATGATCAGCAACTTTTGCCAGCAAAATTGATAGATGACAAACTACAGAGGCCTTATGACATGTCTCACTTTATTCCTTCTTGTCTTTCGTCTTATAAACTAAGGGATAAGATGAATTAACTGTAGTGACACAGGGATCTTTTTCAGCTGAGTACATCATCATCCTACTCACATATCTAAGTCTTAATGTAGAAAGTGACAATAATAAACAGGGATGCTAATGCAAATTCAAAGAGGAAAAGAAAGACTATTTGGAAGCGGGAAACACCAGGGGCATCCTCAGTGATTGTTATTAAAAGTACCACTAAGTGGAAGATGTGTTGGAACAAGCACAAACGAGCATTCCATTTTTCCAGAGTGTTTTGCAGTTTACTATCACTAATACAAATCTACTTACATACCTAGCCATTTGTTCATGTGCAAATATGTATGTATGCGTGTAAATATACAAACACTAGATAGTTCGAGGCTCCTCTCCTCACACTGTGATAATTGATTTGTTGAGCAATTTGTTGAGTTATTTATAAGAAACTATACATACATATTTTAGTACTAATATTAAAGTTATTGTAACTTTTCCGTTTCAGATTCAACAGATCCCATGAGTCTAACTACAAGCTCCCTCACACCAACTTCAGGTCAGAACTTTTACATACCACAGGAAGACAAGAAAGCATTGATGTTATTTTAATGGAAAAAACTAACAGACAAACAAAAAAAGTTCTTTTGAAGTTAGTGAAAAGCATGTGACTAGAGCTAAAAGAATGAAATTTAAAATACACTTGGATTCCACATTATTTTTCTTATGTTTATTGTGACATTTGGCCTTCAGGATCAAGCCGCTCAAGCTGATGTTACCGTATCATTACCTAAGCTGGGATTTGGGGATATAGCAAATAATGTAGATATAAGAGCAGACTAGCTGTTGCTTAGTTCTGCCTAATCAACTGCAGAGGAGGTCCTAGAGAGCAAGAAGGAGAGTTCTAAACCTGGGTTGTGTTTTCCCAGGTTCGGGACAACTCACTATGAGCACATCCTCAACAACTGCAGGTAGGTAACTGTGTATGGGGACAAGCAGGGAGGTTATATGAAACAGTCTGAGATCTTAGAATTACACTGTTTTTGTACAAACTCTTCTTGCATCATTCAGTTCTCACATCCTGTTCCTACAGATACATGATATGTAGGTTTACCTTCAATTTGACAAAGGAGACCTCTTCAAAGAGAAGGGACTTCTAAGACTGTACATTCTACAAAAATGATATATGTGTGTGTATGTTGATGTATATATTGACACTTATACTGACTGCTCATTTTTGTTTCCTATTGTTTCTTGAGGCTTTAAAAAAAAAAAAAAGAAAAAGCTGTTTGAATCTTTGAAGACCTCCCCTGGCCTTATTAAATGGTGAAATATATGTGTTATTTATAAGAGTTTTCAAATGGGTCTAACATATTTACTGCCATTTTTTAGTTGAGTATAGCATTTACATTGCAATTCAGGGTAATTTGCTGTTAAAAAAAAAAAGTCAAAATATTTCATTAGAAAATGTTAATTTCTTTTTATCCAGAAGATGGCAATACTGTTTAGTTTTCTGAGTTGAAGAAAAAAACTAAAATCGATCACGTCGTACGTAAACAAATTTTCTTGCATATTGGGCTTGTGCAAAACATATTCATTGCTCATAGTCTAGGTTTCTGCTCTGGGTCTAGAATGCACAGTTTCATCTCTGCTCATCTGTGGCAATTCATTCACTGGCACTGTGTCATCTCCAACACTTGACTAAAGTATGGTTTGCTTGAATTACCAATTGGATGCAAAATGACAGCTCTTTTTCTCTACACTGTCTGCATTGCTAACACTGAAAGTGTTTTGTAAAGCATTTTGAAATGCTACAATACTTCCAAAAACATCCAAACCATTTTCAGTCTTTTTCACATTACACTGAAAGACAATATTATACAAACATCTAGTTAATCTGATCACAGAACTAACAATTTTATGAAAAAAATAAATCAAGTAATAATGCTTAGAGGCTTCAATATCAGTTTTTCAAATTAGTATTTTTCCTTTTCATTTTTGCAAATGCAATTCGAATGTTTTTGTTCTTGCAATTTTGAACTTTTCCAGTTAGCATTTACCAAAGTAAAGAAAAGGAATTGTGTAAATAGTACTAGGTGAATAGTTTCATAGAATCATAGAATAGTTAGGGTTGGAAAGGACCTTAAGATCATCTAGTTCCAAGCCCCCTGTCATGAGCAGGGACACCACACACTAAATTATGTTGCCCAAGGCTCTGTCCAACCTGGCCTTGAACACCACCAGGGTTGGAGCATTCACAACTTCCTTGGGCAACCCATTCCAGAAAGTTTTCCATAGAATTTAATGCAATTATCAAGAATTTTTAAATTAGTAGTTATACAAAGCTCATTTTAGCAGCATATTTTTGTTCATTGTAATAGGACCTACTTGAATTCTGCAGATGTCTAAGACCAAAATAATCTAAAGACTAAAAGATTAAGTTTGCAGTGGATGAACATTTATGCTCTAAGAAAACACTAATAGTGAGATTCCACAATTTTAAGGATCTGCCCATGTGTTCTTTTTGCATAAACTTGCTCTTAACTTACAAATTTAGTTTGAAAATCTGAAAAAAATAGGGTTTCTGATATTCCTGGTATTTTGAAATCCAGTCTTAAAGTTTTTCATTTTCAAGATATGCTGGTTAAAAAATGAAATTCTTTTAACATGACAAGGTGCAACATTATGATACGTGGAAGTTGAAGAAATTAAATTAAATTGTATTCAACTAAAGCCAGAGATTTTTCACTCGTATTTAAACTAAAGTACAGTTTTCTGATGTTATTCCAGAGGAAAATGTAATTTATTATATTGCATAAAGTAGTTTTCTTCGGTAGAGGAAGTAAATGGGAATTCATGGAAATTTTCTTCCAGCCCTACTTCAAGCTTAGTTTCAAAAACTATGTGACTTCTGAGAACTTTCTTCATTCTGTGCCAAATTTATCTTTTTAGTGTGTGCTATTTCATTCCAGGCTTCTAAAAATGCAGTTTTGTAAAACACAATAGAGTGGGTGATTTGATTTGTGCTAAAATAACCAGGGGTAAGTCCATTTTCCTTGGTAGTGAAACTCCATTACTGCTCTGCTGTTACTGCTATTTTCTTTATTATTTCAGCTGAGTGTTTGCCACTTGCTGAACTTTGTGATGATGGTGTAACCTGCATTAGAGAAGAGTTATTTTGTGATGGAGTCTTGGACTGCCCGGATGGTTCAGATGAATCTGAAAAAAAATGTGGTAAGAATGTAAATCACTGTAAATAAGTCTTTTTAAACATGCTTAAACCTGTCAGTAGTTAGTAAATAGTATATAGGCAATAAACTGCACAGTGTTTTCTAACCAAATCAGTTCTACAAAAATAAAAGTGATTGTTATAATCTTTATATTGTAAATAGAAACAATTTTGCTTAAACTTCTCATTAATGAAGATTATGCTTTATAAATAATGAAGAAATATTACAATCTGGCTATATTAATATATAATAATATAAGCATTACTTCTTGCTACGTAAATATTAATAATATATATAAATTGAATGAAAATGATGAAATAATATAGACATTTCATATAAAGTTGTGTACCAGTAATATCAAATGCTGTTCATTCAAAATAAATTAAAATTATGACCATATAAAGATACAAAGTCACATTACCTAGTATCAGAAACCACCTAATAGCGTATTTGGAGTCTGAAGAGAGGTTTCTTTTTTGATTTCAGCATTAAGATTATCATATGAAACACTACAAATAGCTTTTTCCATGTTACTGTTTATATTCAGCTACATTGATATTGTACCCCCAGAAACTTATACGGGGCAGGTACCTGAGCATTTTTAGCCAGAGCAGGTGAATACAACTGCTGCCACAGCAGGATGGAGACCTTGCAGGATAACTCTGTGTGTTGGCCACCCACTTGCATCTCACTAGACAGAGTGTCAGGGAATAGGAGTGTCTGTATGACTCTGACACAAATGTTTGAGTTGCTGTCACCTCAGTGATGATGATGTGAAAATCTGGGCAAGCAGCTTTAGGTGGCCCTGTTTGAGCAGGGGGGCAAAACAGATGATCTCCAGAGGGTCCTTCCAACCTCAACCCTTCTGTGAGTCTGTGAAAACCTTACAAAACTGATTGTTTTTTAATGGAAAGAGTTTATACCTTCCGGTGCCAGTGGGTTTATTTGCATATCTGACTGGCTAGTTTCCCTGAGCACCTTTTTGTGCAGAGCAGCCACTGCTCCATGTAGCAGTGAACAATATGAAACTGTACCAAACAGTCTGATTACGTTGCTGCTTACCAAATTGTGTGTGCAGCTTTTTGGTACACAGGAAGGCATGTTTGTTAATGTTGTGTGCATTGACCTTCACAGTCTCGGTTAAAAGCCCGTGAAGTTTTATTACAAAGAGAACTTTGCACATGTTTTAGGACACAATGGGGCAATTAACTCCCTGAGTGTTTTGTTTGTTGTTGGTTTTTTTTTAATATAGAATTTGTTGCTGGAAAACTAGAAGGCTTATTCCCTTCTGCTGTAAGAACAGCCTTCTGAACTCTCCTGAGAATAATGGTGGGGTCAGTCCGATCTGAGCTTTCTGAAACATAAAATGCTGGGCTTTGGTTTAAAAACAAACAAGCAAGTAAAAGGCCATTTTTTTTAAACAAGCTGCAAGCTTGTTTCTGAAGGCTGGTGACACACTGACCCCTTCTGCCAGAAGTGGAAATTTCTTCAGAGAATATTGCAGACCTGCCCATTACCTGTTTTATTGAGTGCAGCCAACTCAGAAGGGAGACTGAGCTGAACGTTTGAGGAAAATACTCATCAAAATACTTCACTAGAATATCGACTGAAACACATCCAAATGTCTATTTAGCGTAACAGATGCATCCAGCTAGATCGTAACAATGATGTGCTCTGAGTAGGTCCCTTCACAGCTGAGGAAATCAGAAGGTCCTAAAGTAACCTTAGCTAGACCTTTGTTCCTCTGCAAGCATTAAGGTGGTACAACCCCAAACAGTTAGTCATTCATTTCTACCATCGTACAGTTTTTTTGAGACATGGATTTTGCTTGGTATTTTATTTTATTTTACCTTATTTTATTTTATTTTATTTTATTCATTATTCATCATTCATTATTCATTTTTCATTTTTCATTTTAGATATAGCTAAATAAAAAGTGCATATCCATATAGTTAAGAAGTAGTATTATACATCTCATCAAAATGAATGCTTTTTAGTTACAAGTTTTGTTCACATTTTATTAAAGATGTTACAGTCAGGCCTGTTATATAGAAAAGAATTTAACTGATATTTACATTGGTAGATACAGACAAAAATAAGCTCACCTACTTGCAGTCAAAGCTCTGTAAATATGACTCAGCTCTGCCCTGGAGGCTACACAGCGGTTTAAGTTATGAACTGTGCTTGAGTAGGCATTTGCAGTTGAGGCATAGCTCATGGCTTTTGAATCCAATTTGGATATTTCCCTGAATGTCTACCATATATAAGTTGTAAATGCCCTGCTCCTTTGTAACTGAGGATATTATTTCGTAATCAGCATTTTAACAGTCATTAAATAAACATGCGCAACTGAATTGAAAATTTCAGGAATGTGCATACAAGTGAAAATAGACAGAATGTCATAAGGAAACTAGCTACAGTTACAGTCCACTTCAGGGAGCTGGATGATTTGCCTGTGTTCATCTTCACTGATGCCTGGTATTTCCAAGCAATTCATTCAGCTACCATTAGTTTATCAGTTTCAGCTCATAACCTTGCAGAAATACAATTCTGGCTGGAGGACAAATTGTTGTTCCATGACTTTTACATTTTTAGTCTTAAAATTTTCCATCTAAAATCTCAGAGCTTTTCTAAATCTATATATTTAAGTTTTTTAGCAGACTTTGCAAAAACAGTGGAATGAGTGGCAATAAGCCATATGCATGTTTGGGATACCTGCCAATTTTTCCACCTTTGATTTTTCACTTATGTCCAAAACCTAGAGTAACAATACAGTCATATAAAAGCTAAAGTGGCCTAGATTTTTGGGAGTGTTTCAGAGTTTCACAGTGAGATTTACAGCAAATTCGTGTTTTGTGCCATAAAGGCTCTTGCACACAACAAAGTTGCTGCCCTTTAAACCCTTGGTTTGTTTTTTCATCTTTATTATTCCCTCTAGTACTTCTGATTTTAGAATATGTTAGTGGTTTTAAAATATAGGATACAAGGATGAATTTTAATAGTTTTTTCCTGCATTAGACTGAATTTAGTATAATCTCAGATACTCAGCAGAGATTCAGGCAACTGAACTCCTTCATTTCTTTGGGTTTATGGATTAAAATTATCTTGAAAGGTTTCTTTGTGGCTCTGCAATGCAGGGCAGTAACAAAAGGCATTGCAAAAGTGCGGTTGGCAATTTCAATGAAAAGATCTCTAGAGAAATGTGAAAGTCTGAACAGCGTCTATTAATAATGACTAGCATTGCTGAAAACAGCCATGTAGCACATAAGTGTGAGGAAAGGGAGACTGGAGGCTGATCCCAGGAGGCGTTTCTCTCTGCAGACTTTCTTTGCAGTTATCGTATGTCTAGGCTAACATTTTGTGATTACCTACCTCACAGCACTACAGTACTGAGAGATCAATCATATGTAAGCCAGGAAGAAATGTTCTGCCCTTGGCAGAGAAAGGTCCTATCAAGTGAAATATGTGGGCTTGATCTAAGCAGTTTGGGGAGCTTCTCTCTGCAATTCAAGGATAACAGGATTAAATCTTCCTAATGTGCCCTGGATGTAACATAAGTAAATAGAAATGTACAGCAAGATGCATGCTGGGGAAGCAGGGAAAGTGGTTCATACAAAAGATGTCTCCTGTCTCATTAGCAGAACAACTGAGGTTTTCCTGAGGGCTCCAGGAGGAGGCAGAAATATAATGACTTCTGTGACCCTGCCCACCTTTGACCACAGCTGTCTCCTTTCTGCATCAAGGAACTACTAGGAAGTTCTTCAGGGAAATAGAATCATAGAATCCTGGAACAGTATCCTGGGTTGGAAGGGACATTTACGATCATCTAATTCCAACTCCCCTGCTACGGGCAGGGACACCTTCCGCTGCACCAGGTTGCTCAAAGCCCCAACCAGCCTGGCCTTATGTAAGTTGGACCCATAGATCTCCACGAGATCTGGGTAAGATGCCAGATTTTTGGGTTTTTTTACTTTCCAAAAGGCTGAGTGGAGGTAGAGAACAAATGTCCCCTTTCTATACACCTTCAAGAAAAATGCAAAGAGAGGTAATGCCAGTCCCAGCTATCTTCCTGCTCATTCCTGAGATACAAAGCAATGACTATCGCTAGGCTCTGAGTGAGCAGCCTAAGGAGTTTTGCCTGAATCTTAGTGTCCTGTTTCAAGTTACTCACTGTGTCTTAAGAGATAAGAAGAAACAAGTAAGATGAAACAAGAAAAGCAGAAATGAATTGTTGACAACAACAAACTTTTGTCATTAATTTTATTACAGCAGCATGCTATATCTCTTTTTATTACTGTCAGTGTTATAAACTTTTTTAGCTCAGGATGTGTATTGCTAACCACTTGTTAACAGTAACACTTTTTTGCATACTTCATTAATAACAAGCTGGGCCCTTTCCTTCTTCTTACACTGATTTTATTCTTCTCAGTGGGAAATGGTTGTAAATATTAGCTCATTGGTAAACACATGAATTAAAGTGGACAGAAAAAGTACTTCTATGTCAATACCCAGCTCTAAACCTGTAACTTATTCTGAAAAATGGTTATATAGAATAGTAACTCTCTCTTTCATGCACCTTTTCTCTATGTATTTAAAATTTTATGTGTTCTGTTTTCCTTTCAAAGGCCATGAAGTTTGCAAAAGGGAGTATGTTTCTATTCCAGCTCATGCATTAGACATATCATCATTAGTGAAGTTCATTCTGCACAGTGTTTATTAACAGTACATGCCTAAGCCTGACTGAAACAAAGCTTGATTTTTATGCTGTTTGCTACAGTGGTAGTCAGAAAGAATTTTACACTTAGAAAATGAACAGACAAGGAGCCCCAATTTATCATTTTATATATAATTTCCCACAGGAGGACTACACTCAATAAAATTTCCATTTAATTTTCAATATGATTGATTATTCATAATTTGGATAGTGATTATAGGTATGATTTCATTTCTGATGTTAATGAAAACCTCTATCTAATTTCTGATTATTTGCCTCAAATTGATGAACTTGTCCTTATCTCTCCAGATAATCATGTGTGATACTGATTTTGTTCTTACTTGAAAGCTCTATTACAATTTCTGAATAATGGAAGAAAAAACATTAGACTTATTCCTAACATAATATTCAAGAGATGCAGCAAAAGTTTCGGCAGTGCTTTTGTAGATGTCTGATGAAATAAAGCAACTCTATGTGAATTAATATTTCGAATCTTGCTGAGGCTTAAAAAGATTTATTTTTTTTTTAAATAACTGTTTTTTAAACTGAAGAATGTGCGAACAATGGACTAGCAGAACCCAGGAAACAAAACTAATAAAAGCTTTTGAAAAACTGTATGATGATGGATGACATTTACCTCAGATAAATGAATTCGATAGCTGGCAGGAAACTTGGAATATCCACTTATCTCTTTGAGTACTTGGTTATATATAAAGCGAGGGACAAGGAAGGTCACAGAAGCAGAGATAGCAATAGTCAACCGTATCCCTTCTTGCTTTTATTCACATAATATCAAATTGTTTCTGATAGTGCAAATAGTCTCCTGGTTTAAAGTAGCTGTAGATGAGAACTGTTAAGGCAAGATCCTGTTTCCTTACAAAAGTATAAAATAAAACCAAAGAAAGAGAGTTGAATTAGTTGAATCTATCTGTTGGATTTGAAGTATTTAGATTCGTTTAGACTTGTTTGGATTAGTTGGATTGCCTCTAATTTAAAAATAAATTATCTGTACTGCTTTTCTTCTCCTATAGTACTTTGAGATCAAATAGCTGTAGGAATTATAAGTGGAAGTAAGTTTGTAGTATGTTTTATTTTGTCTTCCCATTGTTGCTTACAAATAATTTCCAAAGTAATCCAGGTAAACCAATAGCTAAGTTCACTCTTACTTTGGCTCTGATTCTGTTTTTCAAACAACATTTTGACAAATGTTCTTCATTATATATTTACAGCTTCAGTTTGTGATGGAAAATTTATGTTGACCGATTCCTCTGGGTTTTTTCACTCCATGAATTATCCAAAACCATATAATGCAAATATCATTTGCCAATGGATTATACTGTAAGCTATTTTCCAACAATTTTCTACCTTGCTCTTTTATTACGAAGTGATATTGTTTCCTGCACATCAACCTTTTCTCCTTTCTATTTACATAACTTTTCTTTAAAAACTTACAAACCTAAATCCTACAAATATATCAATAATTTTTCCACTTACAAAAATTCTTACGTAAGATTTTGAGAAATCTTGTGTATTATATACATGCATAGAAATATATTTATAAGCTCAAAATAAATCACATAATTCAAAATAATTGCAAGATATTTGTTCCAAAGTATTACAGTAAGTACTAGTCTTTAGATACTGGCTTCATATGATATAACTTACTAATAGATGGATTTTTCAAGAATTCTCTTGTCATTTATGTGTATGCTTTTCACCTGGGAGCTAACAGCACCTTTGCTCCTAAGTAATTTAAGAATATGTTTTAAAAGTGCATGAGTATTATTTGACATAATAGTGCCAAATGCTTTTTAAGCCTAGGCACAAGAAGTAGAATTGGTTTAATCAAGAATACATACCTACATGGAGGGACAGCTATTTGACTTTGACACTCTACATCTCCTTCATAGGCCAGAGAGAAAAAAAAAGATAGCCATAGTATGTGATAAATCTCATTCTAAAGTACACATCTGAAATAAGTTAGATGATTGCAAGCTGGAAGCTCCTAAAAACCTCTACAATGACTGCCAATTCAGAAGTTACCGCTTTGAAAGGCAGTAATTCTTATTATGGCTTTGTAACAATGTCTATTCTTTGATTCTGAGAAGAATTAGTTTGGTAGAAAAGTTTCAAAGGAGATTAAGGAAATGCCTTTAAAATTGGATAAAATTTGGACTTTTCATTTCTAGGGCTCCTTTGAAAGTGCTAGTCTTTGAGTTTGTTCAGGTCTTTCATCTTCAAAAAAAAGTCGGGGTTTTCCTTCTGTTTTGTGCATTTGTTCATTCTCATCTTCAGCAATACTATTCACCAATTACTGAGTACATCTGGTTTTGAGCTATAGTTGTGTCGCAGGAATAGCACAGAATTTTATTCTTCAGGATATAAGCATGACTTCTTCCTCAGTTCATGGTGTCACAGAATTCGAGCATGATAATTTAATCATGTCTCAAGTGAATTCCTTCCTTCTAAGCTGTTAATTTTGCTTAAAACACTGCTATAGCTGCATAAAGCATTGTATTAGGTAAATAGCTGTACCAGGCACGTAGCTAACAAAAACAATTTTTGGAAGGAAGCATGCAAATAACATAGTAGAGGTGCTGCAAGTCTGTGTCATTACAGATTGATCAATGACAAAAACAACTGTTTGGTTTTATTTTCCAGTTATCTGCTGTCAAAAAATCTGGCAACACTGACAATAAAGGCATAAAAAATTCCATGTGGCACTCAAATTTTGTCTCCCTTTTAAACAGAATTGTTTCTATGAGGGAACCTTTGGGGTTTTCCATTAACAAATGAGACAGATTTTGTCCTGTTATTTTGTATTCGTCCTATAAAAATCTGTTTGTGCTAAAAGTCATCCTGCAATACACCCAAGATTTTATTTCTCTTGTGCCTTTCTTTGTCTAGAAAGATTTCCCCACTACCTTTAGGAAAAGCTTTTACATTTTCATCCCATTTTACTCCTCCCCATATGATGATGTAATTTCCTCTCCTTTTAAAAGTCAGAGCAGTATGTTTAATATTTCCCTGAAACATAAGCTTCCTTTCAACTTTATGTTTTACTCTTTACAAAGCACAGATATTTTTTTCCTACAGAGAAATATATAACCAAAAAAAAAAACAGGACAAATACAAATATTCAAATATTTACTTCATGCTCCTGTACTGATTGGTACTGATAAGCATCAGCACATTGCTGTTGAAAAGCTGTCTTCATATGGTTAGGTTTGATAGCATGTTCCCAAACAGTGGGTGTGAGATCTTCAAATCTTCATGCAAATCCTTATTTTGTCATAAGAGTCATTATCTTGGACTTTCAGGAGAGAGATTTTGATATGTTGTTATGCTTATTTCTCTGACCTTAGGAAATCTATCTATCTGAGCAGTGACATTATTTATCAGTAACGTATTAAAAAACAATTGTAAATTAATGAAATGCAGAAGGGGAAAAAAACCCCAACCCCTCCCCACAAAAAAAACCCAAAACTTAAAAAGCTGTTCAGATGAATAGCTCATTCTCGAGTTTAGAAGGTTCATTTCCTAAAATACAGTTAACTACAGTAAGTAAAGGAGTAACTACAGTAAGTAAAGGAGTACTTGTACTGTTACAAAAGGTTTATGTCTCATTATTTTGGTGATTTTGCAAACTAGAAGTTAGCCAAATAGGTTAGTAATCTTAATTAATATAATTCCACATTGTTTCTGAATTTAACATCATTGAATCACACAATGAGCTTACTGCAGTCAAAAAAAAATAATTTACTAGAACATGAATTTCAGTTTTTGGGTATATTTTTCTCTTGTTATCTTAGGGTGCCTCAAGGGTTATTCATTAAACTGAACTTCACTTCCTTTGAAACGCAAAGATATGCAGACAATTTAAATATTTTTGAAGGTATAGGACAAAACAAGATTTTAAGAGGTAAGGTTAATTTTGAGCTAATATTATTTTTTTATTAATAAAAACTACATGGCAAAATAAGCATTTTGAAGTGAAAAAAAATGGTATGCATACATATAAATAGAAGAATACATCTCTGTAAAGTTACCCTGTTAGACAGTTGATTTCAGTATACATATCTGGACTTACAAAGTGACCAGATAAATTATTTCCTAATATATTAAGAAATCTGCTTGGTTTTAAGATCTTATTTGAACAATTTGATAACTTGACCAGAGCCATGGTCTTGTGGTGTCCATTTTTCATGGGAAGTATATTGCCAGAAGAACATGTAACATCACACACAGTAACATAAAATGAAAGCGTCTAAACTGAAACTACTGGGAGCACTATCATACTCCCCGAAATTCATTACAAGCACATCATAACAAAATTATGCAATCAGTCCTGTGATTCTAGAGTTTCAGAGTGCATACATGTAAATTTTGAAAACATTTACAACATAATAAGCATAGATATGAAAATTATAGTATTGAATATGTGTACTGAAAGAGATGTGAGAGATGGGATATGCAGAATACTTATATGGTAGTCAAACAACTAAATGCCTTCAGAGTTATGAAGGTACTGTAGACAGGATCACAGTACAAGAGGGAAAGCGTTCTTTAAGACTCAAAAAGCTAATCCACTATATTTTTATGAGAGCACTGGGGATTTTAATGTGCACAGGATTGTTTTCTCTCTGACTACGTGATTCTTTATTTGTTCTCAGCTTCTCTGTCAGGCACTAATCCTGAGACAATTTACATTTTTTCTCATGAGGCTACAGCAGAGTTTATATCTGATTATTCTGAAAATTACAGTGGCTTTAACGCAACGTACACTACATTTAATGCAAATGAGCTGAACAGTAAGTGTTCTTTTTTTGTGTGGTTTTACACTTCAGTGTGTGTGTGTGCTTATTATCCTGAAAGCTTGGTGAAAGTGTATTTTCAGTTTGACAAAATAGAAGTGAAAAGGGAAGCAGTATTTTCTAGCCTCAGTCTACTGATTAGATCCACTTTGTGAAATTTTATAGTATTTTAAAGATAAAATCATTGATTTCAGTCCACAGTTTTACAGGCCTGTATCTAGCAGTAGGTTGATGCCTTACGAAGTTAATCTGTTAATTAAAACTCTGGCCATATCTCCATCATATTCTTCTCAGCCAATTTGTTCACTAGTGAATGCTGTTGAATCACTGACACTAAGCATTATTCTGTCATCACCTGATAGTACCTGCTCTCCAGAGTTTCTGATGGCCTGAATCATTGCCACAAGTAGTAGTCCCAAATGGTAAATTTAACATTTGGGAAAATTCCTGCTTCAGTAAATAGACACTGGAAAAAAGTCCAGATGCACTAAATCTATAATGGCAACCAAAAAAAAAAAAAGCAATATGACTCATGCATTAGTGTTTTTCGGTAGTTGGGGGAAAATCTACATGCAGATTGGACAAGTGAAGGCTTCTTCAGCTGCTAAATTCTGAGCAGGATGTGAATAGGGGATGTGACCGGGAAGGGATATGCTGCAGGAAACATAGAGTGCCAGCAAGCTTTTGTCACGTGGAAGCCCTTGCTGGCGGTGGACCTGCACTCCAGGGCACCATGAAAAGACACTGAGCATGATACTATCAGAAGTGATTAGGATGTTGCGTATGTGAGCAAAGAAGGAATGAAGGAGAAGGTCAAGGAAAGTAGCATCCCTCGTACATGGAACACAGCACTCATCGGAGCATTCAGGTCTGGTGATGGGCTCTTGCAGCTGAAGCAATTGAGGCCTTGGCAAAGAAAAGAGGAAAAGAACAGGGTTAGCCCTTTGTGTTAACTAAGCAAGAGGTCCTCTCTTGTTCCCACAGCACATTACTGGAGAAGGATCAAAAAAGAAGGTTGATGAATGAATGCAAGAGCATGTAGAGCCACCTTTAGCAGTAGTGCTTTGTTACGAAGTGCAAATGACAAATTTATTTGAGTAATTATGTTGCTTTGCATAGAAGAAATTGAGTCACTGTGAGCTCCAGTTTTCAAACAGATTTAAAAATACTTGTCACCTTCTTGCATAATTCTGTGAAAATGCTTCTCGTCTCTGTCATTTTTATTTACTAGAGGTTCTTATTCACAGATTATGAGAAAATCAATTGCACTTTTGAAGAAAGCATTTGTTATTGGATACAAGATTTAGATGATGATTCAGACTGGGAGAGAATTCAGGGTCCTACTTTTCCCCCTATGAGTGGTCCTGATTTTGATCATACGTTTGGCAACGCGTCAGGTAAAATCAAATACAAATTGCTTGCAGATTAAAAGAAAAGCTTGATTTATCTTATGTTATATCACTATACAATGGATTTTTCATAGTGGTATTATCAAGATGTAATTTTATTCTGCCATAAAAATGAGTCAAGGCAACCAGAAAAAATGTTTTATGCTACTGATTGCCATCTTGTGGAAATATACCAAAACTAAAAGAAGAAATAAAGAAATATATAAAGGGATTAAAGTGTGAGGTATTGAAAAGCTTCAGTGTTAATAGTATGACAAAGTGCCCTATCTGAGAAAGCAATTTCTATTATGTAACAGTTTTATAGGTCAAATAACTACATGTTTACCTTAAGGAAAAAAGCAAGCATAGTTACCTTCAAGGGAAATCACTTCTATTGCATCCCTGTCTACAGGTGACATCCTCGTGGTTGTCACAGAGCCATTCTGATGTAACATAAAGTTGATCTGCAGGATACAGAGGGCACTTGTGTCCACAGTTAGAGTTGCACACCAAACACAATAATTTAAGTCATATGCAAAATGCACAAATGCTCCAGCAACTGCTATAGCGAAGCAATTTAATTGCAAGAGTGATCATGTCAAACATTCCTTTTAATTAAGGACACATGCTAATATGAATCAAATTTCTTATCATGACTATGATATGTGTATCATGACTGTTTATCATGACTGCTTATCCTAGAATTAGACTCCAAAACTTTTTTTTCTGCTTCAACAGCAAAACCAATCTTTCTCAGCTGATCTGTCAGTCCAGCTAAAACTAATTAAATTAATTTGGCTTTTGTAATGGCTATATGTAGTCTATGCAAGAATGCATGCTTTCTAAGTCAACACAGGAAGTGAAAGGCCTGGTTCAGATTTCAAACTTAATTGTCAGGTACTTTAACCTCCCACAGGAAAAAGCTAGCTGATCTAGAAATATAAATAACAGAATATAGTATGCATAATTTAACTTGTATCGTTGCATTTATTTATAAACTCTGTGAATATAATATTCGCATATATATGTGATAGACCGATTGATAGAATAAAATCTAAGATTAAATCCATGATTTCAATTTAAAAAAGGATTTTATTTTAGGACTTTTAACTCTGCCTAATTTTGCTTTTCTTGTGACAAATCACAATGCTTCTGTAGCTTGGACTCACGTTATATTTCCATATGGCAGGAAGAAGTCCTAATTCCCAACTGCAAGGAATTAACACAGAAAAAGCTAAAACCCTAATTTTCTTGTTTATAATGCTTCACCTTGCTATAAAATATTCATGTAGTCATGCCCCTCAATATGCAACCCATATTTCACATTATTATGTGTATAAAAATTATAAAAATGCCAGGAAATTCTTCTGTAAAATCACAAACAATACCAAACTGGGAGACATTTTTATAAATTAAATAGAAATTGCTCATGTGAATTGCTGTGCTCACTAAGTAAAAGGCAGATCTCCCATTGACTTCCAAAGAACTAGTTTCCCATTTCATGTTTAGTTTTGAGAAGTGTCCGACAAGCTTAAAAGCTCATTTTAATATATCATTGATTGATGACTATAACTGGTGATAATCATTTATGGTAATTGTGTCAGGAATCTTCCACATCATGCAACACTATTTATGCTCGATATTATTATTAGTAAGTGTAAAAACTCTTTTTTAAAAAAAAAAAAAAAAGCTGTAATTCTGTACTGACTAAAATGTCCTCATTATCTTGCAGGATTTTATATTTCAACACCCACAGGGTATGCATTCGGAGAAGAGAGAGTCCGGATACTGAGTCTGCCTTTGAACTCTTCAGATTTATCTTGTTTAAGCTTTTGGTATTCCTACATAATTCCTAAACATATACTTTGCTTAAGCATAAAACCAAACAGCTTTCTTCATATATAATATTAATACAAATCAGTGTGCCAGGAATACAAACCTGTTTCTGTTTGGATTTCCATGATCAGTCTCAACTCCAGGCCTGCAACTTTGTCTCCTTTATAAGTTTGATTCTTGCAGTTAACTTTAATGTGTTTTCCTTTTCACCCTGGATCCAATATTCATTTCTATACAGAAATTTCAGTAAGAATCCCTGAAATACTTTTTGTCATGAAGCTTAACTAGGCCTCTGCAGAAAATATAGACAATACCAAGTAAAACTTCCAGGTGTAAACTAAATTTATGATTCATTTTATTTTCATGCTAACTGCAAATTAGTCCTAGTTCCATAAAACCATTTGAAAAATAAAAAGCTTGATTTTATTTTTTTTTTAATGAAAACTGACTTTGTTCTAATAACACCAAAATTGCTCTTACCCCACTAGGTATTTCATGTACGGTACTAATGTTTATTGTTTAAGAGTGAGCATAAGTAATGTGCATGGTTTGGAAAAGATCATTTTCCAGAAAGAGGGAAACTATGGGAACAACTGGAATTATGGACAAGTAACTTTAAATGAATCATCTGATTTTAAGGTTTGTAAAATTGCTTGTTCTTTTTAAAATTTATTCTAGCTAAACTGATATCAGAATTTTCTGCCAAATTAACCCAGTAATCCACAGCTCCAAAGATAATATCTAGTACTATTTACTAATGCATGCTATCAAATATATGTTAGCATGCAGAAGACTGGAGTCCCTATTTGAACTGCCATCCCCCTCCCTTTTCCCTACTCTGAAATTTAAAGTATTACTTTTGTGGAAAACAGAAAACCTTAACATTGTCATGGGACAATAAATGTTATCACAACAGAGAGCTTTCTGAAAAGCAAGGGTGTTTAAAGCCTATCAAAACCTGAAGTGGAGTTTATAATCTTGACAGTGGATGTGATACGAAGCTTTTAGGCATGAGAATATTTAAATCAAATAACTTCAGAATCTGAAGCAGTATTTTCACTAATTGATTGCAGAATCACTCATTGAAAGTGTGTTCTGGACAAAAATGTATTTGGAACTGCATGATTAACAACCAGCCTGATTTATATGTAAGCAAAAGGAGGAGACTTTTGCTAGATAATTCCTTCAGCAACTTTCTATTGGGAATAGTTTCTTTTTATAGGTATTTGTGATGGCTTGTACTGCTATAGTAGTTTAGATTCATGCAAAAACACTGCCAGAAAGATACATTTACTATCTGAGAAAGTAAATACATCTGTGACCTGGCTGCACCAGATTTCCAGCAAATGTGTGTTTTATGATCTCAGGAAGAGTGCTATACCTAGCTGTATTTCACCAGCACAAACTGCTTGGTAGCAGGGTTAGTTTAGATCTGTGGATATTAACAAATGAGATCAATTTAAATTTTTCATGGAGGTATGCCATTGGATCAAGAGAAGTTTGGCCTCATGACTGATACAGAGTTTGCATTTCAAAAATTACATGTATTTATATATAAAAAGTAAAGTTACTGAATCATGTTAATAATTTATATGAAGAGTACCTTCAACCTTTAGAATGATCCACTCAGTTGGCATAGTGCTGGGTTTTTTTTACAAGGAATCCTATTTCATCCTTGATGCCCTTCTTTAAATGATGCACCCATGTAGGTTACAGTGGACATACGAGCAATTGAGAAAGAAGACAAAATGATTCAGCATAGGAAGGTGAAAAATGTTTTATTAAAATATAAAATTACATTTTTTTTCCAGGTTATTTTTGATGCCTTTAAAAGACCTGGTCTCAGTGATATTGCCATGGATGACATTGGCCTGACAAAGGGGAAGTGTAATGATAGTATTTATGTAGAGCCGACTGAGATTCCAGCTGTTACTACTGTCCCTTCAGTTCCCAGTAAGTAAACATTAAATTACAGTTAGTTGATTGCCATTTCTTATTACTATATTTGGGTATGGATGATTCAGAATTTTCAGCCTTCAGTTTTATAAAAATCTCTCTTCAGCATTATAAAATTATCTTCAGGATAACATACTAGGGATCACATTCCCTGCCTATGATTTTGTTGATAGTAACAGGACTGGTAGATTCACAGCTTAAGCTATATCAGTACAGTATCTTCCAAAACTTGAAGCCTGGAGGATAATGAAAAAATTCAAAAATAGTCTCTAAAAGCTTTAATCAGTAAGGCTACCAGAAAGCCACTGAAGAGAAAGGAAGACAAAAGACAAGGAAGATTATAACCTCTATATTTGAAATGATAAGCAATATAGCAGGAGAATAAGAGAATGGACCAAATCACATGAAAATAGACTAGAGGTCTCAATTCACTAAACTGTGAGAACACATGCACACTGTAAACTCCCATATTTAGGGGAATGAATCTATAAAATAGTGCAAGAATAGTTTAAGACTGGAACATGGTCTATGTGAATGTCTAATACCCAAAATGGAGGTATTATCTGGAACAAGTCTCACAATGAATGAGTTCTTTCCAACATACATTTGCCCATATAGTTATTCCTACTGTATCTGGTGACATAAAATAAAGCAATATTTGCTTTAAAAAAATTTAAATAGGGAAACAGAAAGGACAGAAGGACAGTTGGTTCTGGGTTTGGAGGAAATGAGTGGACAAAAAGAAAGAACAATCAAAGGACTCTTTCCACTTTCTTATCTAATGAGATGCTTCAGTATCTGCATAAATTATTGAATCTGTCAAAAATGAAGCCTGATTTCTTCAATTTTGCCTTTGATAACTACTCATTGTGGTAAGGCAGGAATGATGAATAAGTGCTTGATCTAGTAATAATGGTTAGTGCTTTTTTCTGCTTGATTGGGCCTTATCTCATTTTGTCTCACTATTTTCTTTTCACCTCTTCCAAATCCCAGGTTCAGGGAAGGAGGAGGAAATGGGAGGAGAGTTGGTTTTGTTTTCATATTGTTGCCATCTGCTCCAAGTCAACTAGAAGTTAGTGAAACATGAAACATTGCTATCTAAAGTGCATAAGCACGTCTCCAAAAAGGTTATATAACTTGATCCAGACCAATCAAATTTCAGAGTCATTTAGAGGAAAGCACAGACATGTGAGTTTCCTCAAAACACTCCAGTTTCACAGAGCTAGTTAGCAGAATCTCACTGAGAAAAATATGAAAACATACCTGTTGCCATCATTATAAATCTGGAAAATATATCTAAAACAGTGAATAACAATTGCATGTGATGTTAACCAGGCCCACACACATTCAAAGCAAAAACTGGTACAAATATGAATAGAACCTGTGGAAATCATTAAAATATCTGATAGGGCTTTGTAATTTATGTGGAAGAAGCCTGAACTGTTGGGGAAAAAAGAGATTTCTACAAAAGACCTATTCACAAATGGTTTTAAATCATTAAAACAAACAGTGAGTATGTTTCAGGATTGCCTCCTATTGGATTTACTGTCACTTAAAAAGCACAACTAGTTGCTCTCTTGACAGTATATAGCAAATAAAAATGGTCTAAAATTAAAATAATAGAAAAAGACTGTTTGCATTGTATTTATGTTGAAGTACTGTGTACTGTCATTCTATCAAATCTAACACCTTTAAATCTACTGCATCAGGACAGGTAAAAAACCAAAACCTTCTAAATATAAGGGCAAAATTCTGTTTTGGAGCTCCATCCTGAGACACGGGAAAGTAAAGTTCAATAAGATGTCTCTGTCAGCAAAATTAAATTTTAGTAACACTAGTAATTTCAGTCATAAATCTCCAAAGTTAGTTTCGGAGTTTAACTGCAGCTTTCATAAAAGTAATACTGTGGAGAGATGCTGATGTCTGCCACATCCAGCCATCTTTCAGGTGCTGTGGGTAAACACAGCTCACAAGTTAGCATCAGTATAATAATTAGTGGTAGAACATCCCTGTGATAAATAGTGGCTGAGCGCTGCTGTCAAAACACCAGAAAAATGTCACTCAAACTATGGGTCTCTACGCCAAATATGGTGAACAAGTTTTAATATTCAAAAGAAGGAAGTGGTGACATAGCATATGACTCCTTTTCAAGCAGATTAGAGAGGATCCATACTGTTCTTCAATATGATACAACAGCACAGGCTAAGCTGTTGCTGAGGAAAACCTCCCTTGCTTGCATAACTTTATTGAGGTGTGCTATGTATATGCTATCTGTAACCTGCTAAAAACTAGTGAATGTTATCAGTCATCTTCAAAGAAGCATGAAATTACTTTGATGGATGTGGTGCAAGCTTTCTAACACTAATGGTTTCACTACAAATGTCATGTCTATAAACAAGAGATGAAAGAGTCTGAGCTAAGCCAATTTCTTTTGCTAGAGTGAGAGCTTTAGTAAGTGGCACTGGCATCATTCACAGTGCCACAAAAGCTCAATGAAAAGTAAAACCAAATCTTTGGTGGTGGGATAGAGAAGCTGGATTTGCTTTTGTCTTTTGCACAAGACTGTCAGCTTACACTTTCATCTAAAACAAAGACTGCTTTCATCTTCATATTCATTTATAACCTGTCTTTTAATACAAAAAACAGTGTGGAAATTGCAGTGTAGATTCCACACTTAAGATGTGGAATCTACATATATAGATACACATATAAATAAATTAAAATTTTGGCCAATGCACAGAGGATTTTCTTTATTAATAGGTCATATATAATTTTCTTCAGCGTTGAGAAAAATTGTCTATTATGCTCAGTGAAAAAACCAAAATCATTGGTGCTGATTGCTATTTGGTTTCTAACAAGTGACAGCTATATGAATAACTCCATATAAATTTGTGTTTAAAGATCACGAGAAATTTTTAAAACATTTTTTCCAGGCATTAGTAAAATCAATTACTTCTATAGTTTTTCCATGCAAGAGAAAAAAGATCATTGCTAATGTGGCTTACATGTAGTCAACACGAGGTCAGACTTCACCATAAATTGCCTCTGTTCTGCTATTAAGAAACTCTGCTCATATTGTTCTGCTCATATTATCAAATTACACTGGCTGGGAATCATATATTTGTTATGCACCTTTACAGTAGTTGTGTCTCTGCTTGTACATGTAGTAATGTTCCATGAAAAAAAACCCAATATAATATTTATTTGTTGTTAATGATATTTACAGATAGCCCTCATTGTGAGCTGTACAGCTGAAACATAATATACTTGTTAATCAGTGTGTGATTGTTAGCAGTTCCTTTTCCTTACAGAGAGTTTGGCTTTTCTTGCCAGAAGTGATATGGTGAAATAGAAGATGGTTGTCATGATGAAGTGATAAAGTTCAAATCTTTCTTGTATTATTGGAGCTTCCATGCAGTGGGTTCAATGGGCAAACTCAGTAGGACTTGCAGATTATGCAGTCTCCAACCAAGTGGTTCAGATTATGGAATTCTGATAAGACATAATGAAATACAAATTTTCAGACATAATGTTGTTTTAGTTTAGCTGAATTCTGAAAGTTAAAAAAAATTAAATTTTAATTCAAAGAATAAATGAACAACAAAAAATTAAAAAAGGTAGATTTCTTTTGCCTTAACTCCTAATTCCTGAAGTAGGTGAAGGAGCACTGTTTATTTCTGAATAAGGTAAACAACAGAAGTGGGAAAACATCAAAGTTCATTATGATGGTACAGCTGAAATAAAAATAAAGAATATTTCTGAACATGAAGTAAAGTTTTAGAATGGGAAGCTGCATATTCTGGGTGCAAACCACCGTCTAATATATTGAAAGAGAATATTGAGTATATAAAGTTCAATTAGCTCTCTCTATGTCAGTGCATGTATCTGTGTATATACATATCTACAATATTTGCTTGTAAATACATTTTATTTGTTTTTTTATATAAGTGCTTACACATGTTTGTGATAAAGACCTTTCTTACTGGAGCAGTTGTTTCAAAGAAAAAGCAAATAGTCACTTTTACCATTTACAAGGTTTAACTGTAAAAGTGTTTTGGGTCCTGGTGAAATCAAAATAACAGTATAATGGGGTTTTTTTGTTATAAAGTTTATTTGCTACATGACAAAATGTGCTTTTTACTTGAATATCAGGTGATGCTGCAAGATCAATCAGATAATAAGTAAAGCATACAAGCAAAGTGCATAAATAGGTTATATTAGTAGGGGGGGAAGCTTTCATCTCTGACATTTTCTAGCTTTTATATTCATGTAATATAAATAAAATAAATATCAACGGTATAATTTACTAAAGAATGTATCACATTCTTTTATTCATATTTTCTGCCATGTGCACAGCTTGCAGACCAATAATCACCAAATGAAAAACAGACTGTGTCCTTCCCCTAACTACATGAGGAAGACTTCTCATAGCATCATCATGAATACAGTTGTGCACCTGGGCACTAGCACTTCACAAATAGCAATATAAGAACTATACCTGTAACACTATGGCACCGACTGCATGTGTCAGCAGGTCTTAGACACTGTAACTAATAAGAACAGTGAATTTCTTAGAAACCTTGTTTTCTCAATGCTCTGTGTCCTTACAAGTCATTGTTCAGGCTTTATACCAATGGCACTGCAACTCTTACCCTTATAGTGATGAAGTTAGCTTGAATATCCTCTTCATAAAATTATTGTTTTTCCTAACTGTCTTTGTTACAACAGATTGCAAAAGTAAGCAATAGGTTAATTATGTTTTCTTTTACAGCTGACTGTGGAGGGCCAGTTGAACTCTGGGAGCCAAACAGTACCTTCAGCTCTGAAAACTTTCCAAACAATTACCCTAATCAAGCTTCTTGTAAGTCATTCTTCTTCAAGTTTTCAGAAAAAAGTTTAGCTGTATAAAAGTAGACATACTAAATCTGATTTCCCAAGTCAGATGTCATGCAAAAAAATCTAAGCTATATACAGTGGGATCCTTTAACTGAAGACTATATGGCTTTTAGGAGAAGTTAAGGAATCATGTTCCAGTTGATTAAAAAGTGATGAAGACAAGCATAATCCTTCTGAATGGCTTCAGACAGGCCAATTCCATCATGCATATTATGTCAAATATCTTTATGTCAATGTAACAGACAAGGCGCTGTACATCCCCATTTTACCATTATACCTCATCATTATACCAGGTTAATGTCATCATCTCTTCTGTTAAATAGTTAAACTTTTCTAGGGCCAAAGAAAGTGTGTATGCATTTTTCAAGGGATCCTCTCTTTATAGAGTGTTTCTTAACATTTTAGTGAAAAATATTGGCGATCAAAGGGCTGGAGCATCTCTCCTATGAAGACAGGCTGAGAGAGTTTGGCTTGTTCAACCTGGAGAAGGGAAGGCTCCGGGAAGACCTTATTGCATCCTTTCAGTACCTGGAAGTTAAAGAGGGACTTTATATAAGAATAAGTAGTGATAGGACAAGGGGTAATGGCTTTAAACTGAAAGAGGGTAGATTTATATTAAGTATAAGGAAGAAGTTCTTTACTGTGAGGGTGCTGAGACAGTGGAACAGGTTGCTCCGAGAAGTGGTAGATGCCCCATCCCCAGAAGTGTTCAAAGCCAGACTGGATGGGGCTTTGAGTAACTTCATCTAGGGGAAAGTATCACTGCCTATAGCAGGGGGAGGGTTGGAACTAGATAGTCTTTATGGTCCCTTCCAACCCAAGCTATTCTATGATTCTATGGCTCTATGAAAGACATCATTACTGTACTAATGCTACTTGATACAGATTAAGCTACAGCTGGCAAAAATGAGAATATTTCAAGGTAGTACACTATGTGCTGTTGATGGATGAAGCAGGGAACAGAACTCTGTCATTACCTGTTAATGAAATTTTAATTATTTATTACTTCACCTTTAACTAGAGAACTGTGTTGTGTTGCTAATCACAAAAGTTGTAATTTCGTATTTCTGTCCCATTTGAGTTATAGCTCTGATTTCCAGGTATTAATTTCGCAAGTTCCTAAAAGAGATTCCTACTATTGAGAAAATGTTTCTCATTCTCTGAGCAGATTGTAAAACAGTCGGTTTTAATTTAGGTGTTTTGTTTTTTGTTTTTTTTTACTTTATTTAGAAGATTTTGGTAGCATCCACACTTACATAGATTAAATATGATAAAGCATAGGCTAAACAGAAGGAAATACTTCTACTTTAAAAAGACATCTAACTTGAAAGACAGGCATCTCTGACTGATTACAGAAATTATCTTACTATCAAATAAGTCTTTAGTGGCAAGACTGTCATGTTTTCACAGTTACAAAAGAATTAGCTTTGCTGCTTTAGGGAAATTCACAGTTGTCATGTATGGTGAAAAATGCATGTGTGTGTCTTAAGAGCCTAAATCCAGTTTTCAAAAGTGTTTTAGATATAAGAACCAATAGAATTTTGGGTCTTGACAACATAAGTTGCTTTTAAAGGTAAGATTTAGTCTTCTAAGTCTCTTGGGTGATCTTAATAGTTTAACAGAGTTGTGTTTTTCCCCCAAATCCTTCAACCAGAAAATGACACTGTAAATGTAACAGCTGAAAAGGTGATTTTTGTGTGTGTTTTATTATTTTCTAGGCGTGTGGTACTTAAATGCTGAAAGTGGAAACAACATTCAACTTCATTTTCAGGTTTTTGATCTGGAAAATATTTATGATGTAGTTGAAATCAGAGATGGCAGAGGACCAAATTCCTTACTTTTGGGTAAGTAACAGCATGGCATGCAAAATTAATATCATCAGACAGCTGGAGCAAACTGATAGATATAAAGGAAATTAACTCTTTCTAATTTCATTGAACATTTCTTCATATTTTAGGGTCTCAGAAATTAGGAGGAAAACTTGAGAAAACATACTGTGTGTGACATCATATTTCCCAAATGTTTGAACACGCTTAGCTTTCTATGCAATCCAAACAAAATTAACTTCTTGATAAATAAGACTGCTCATTTATGTGAACAAACAGAAGTGTAATCTCTTAATTGAACCTTATTTTCCTATAATGATATGTCAAATTTGGGGTTGAGCTTTGATCATTGAAGTCTGATAGCAGTTGTGTTTGGGAGAATAACCCAAAACATTTTGAAATACGTAAGAACAAAATAGCTTAAGTATATCCATGTTCTCCTGGAGAATAGCTGTATATACAGGACAAGACCCGTTGCCAGATGTCTTCTCTACAACCAATCAGATGACAATAATCCTCCTTACGGACAAATCTACAACAAAGAAGGGATTTCTTGCAAACTTTACTACTGGCTACCATCTAGGTAAGCATATGAACCCTTGTATTTAAGAGGCTATACTGCTGTTCAAAGACATTTGAGAAAAATTGGAGTGTGGAAGTTGACACTCAGCCTTTCATCAATGGAAATATGAAAAAGTTAAAGAGAAAAAGCCTGGTAGTTACCCATCTGTAATTTGTTTTCTAGCATGAAGTAACATCTTTGTTGCTTTAGTGTAACTGGACCAATGTCTGTATCATATGCAAATCTCTGTAATATTATGTGAAAAACTGACTCACTATTTTGACCAAAAACTATTCAAATGTTTAGAGTGCAAATACAAACTGTTGTCTATACAAGCCCCAGAATAGAATATCTCTTTGTGACTCATTTCAGAATGTCACTAATGTGTCTTTAAATACATTTGTGAAAGATTTGTTATCAATCACATCCACTAGAAGATAAAAATGTATATGTCACTGATTAATGTTTACAATACAGTCCTTCTTGTACCTGCAAAAATTTGGTCCTCAGCTTGTGAAGGATCTGAGAAGAATTAGTCTTTTAAATATTTGGACAGCAGTGTTTCCAGTCCCAGCCAGTCCTCTTCTAAAAGTCTCAGGTTTTGTTGGGGACTGCAATTAGATTTGACACACATACAAGTAATTCAGCAATCAGCTCTCCAAAAACTTGCAAAATGGAGCTAAATGCTAAAGTACATGAACAGCAATATGTTTACCGGCACAAATACTTACACTAATTCTATGCCAAATCTTGTTGGAATTACTTAAAAGCTTTGTATTACTTCTGTGGAAGTCTGACAACAACAACAACAAAAAATAGAGAAAGAAAAAGCAGTATGTATTCAGAGATGTGTGAAATACCGTTAATTTACATGAACAGAAAGTCAACAAGAATCTACACTCTCTTTCTTACTTTAAATATCATAAAGGCAAGTGTCTCCCAGCATGTTTAGCCATCTGCAGCTTTTCTATGGATTAACAGTAATATTTTTCTTAATCTTAAAGATAAAAATATTAACCATTGAGTTACCTTCGTAAAATCAACTAAATTTAATCCTGTTGTGCAAGACTGAGAGGTAGGTTTATAGACATAAGACCATTTTGCTGCTTCTTATTCTGCCTTCTTATCACATCTGCACAGTCCAACAACACTGTGCCTTTTTTTTAGCTGCTTCAGCATATTTGCTGAGCCAGCTTTGCCCATATTTTGTTGTAAAACAAAAATTAAACTTAGCAAGGCAAAGTTCTCCAGGTGGCTATTGCCAGTTTTGGTTAAATATATTTAAAAGTTCCATTTGCAAAAGAATGATGCTTATTCATGATCTTTTCAGCAATAGGACAGAGATAATTATCACTAGCATGTAGTCCCAAGGGTAAAAGGATTGTCAATAAATAAAGTAATTTTGAAAAGAAAAGCAGATTTTTCTTCATATTTTAATTTTCTATGAAATATCAATCTTTTTAAAAAGAAGCATAATTTGAAAATTAATAGTTTTTGGCAGTATGCAATATAATAAAAAACTTGAACAGTAAGTTCTATGGAAAATCTGGCATCGGTTATGGCCACTGAATATTGTGAAAATTCTGATTAAGGCCTTTTATAACCATATTCTTTTGCTTCCATATTGTACAACAGCCCATACTGACTGATGAATGAATCATTTTAAATCAATATTAAAAATTCAGAAGCAAAGCAATTACCTTGCCTTATATAAGATTTCTAGATGATTAAATGTTTCAGTAAGTAAGTCCAGGAAGGAAAATAAAGAAAATAAACAATTTTTCAACAGAATTTAAGTTTATGACTGTATTTACTGTAAATGTATACAAGGGAGCCATTAAAAATATACTTTGGACTTAGAAAAAATTATAACTTTAATTTTACTCTCTATCTGATCTGCTTTTGTTACATAACTGATACTGAAGTAGCTTAATCTTAGTTTTGTGAATGCTTTCTCATTTATTTCTGTTACTCTTGTCTCTTCCACCTTTCTTCCCAGGCAGGTTCTGAGAGGAGACACTTGGCTTTCAGTGCCTCTTGTATGTTTGACTCAATATACTTTAAGGTCTCTACACTCTTGTGAAAGTGCTCGACATCTGAAATTTGCAATCGTTTGTCATTTTTGACAAGATTTGACCAGGATTTGATTTTTCTTATCCCTCCAAAGTTTATTACATGTAACAGAAGAACATTAGCACCTGAGCAATATTAACTGCAGATGCTACAGAATATAATACAATAGATTCTATTCTTATTTAGCTTCTATTTATCACAAAATAATCTTTATTTTGAAAGAGAGATGAATAAGAAAGGAAGAAAAAGGAAATCAAAGGTTCTGTGTACTCAACTTTTATTTCAGGTGAACTGTATGATCTCCAGTGAATGTCAACCTTCCTTGTAATTACCAATTCATTTTCCTTGCCTGTTTTCCTTCAGGAGCTTGTGCAATTGACGAGCACCAGTGTGGCAGTGGGGATTGTATACCATTGCATAACCTTTGTGACAACTTACCTCAGTGTGAAGATGGCTCTGATGAAGCAAAGTGCAGTAAGGTTTCTTTCAAAGAGGAGTGCATGTATATTTAGTAGGAATTATGCAGGAAAACAGCCACAGAACCTCAAATAGTATAAACTACTGCAGCTGCGTGCAGACCATGCCAATTTACACAGTAGTAACTCACTGAGTTTGTCAGGACCAAAAAAACCAAGTTGCTTTTCTGAGATAGTGTATGTAAGCTGATGAAGTTCTCTGTGCTTAAAACTGTGGCTGCTTATAACGGCCCAAAATTAAATGAAAACTCATTACATGTTTTCCTCCTGTATCCATTTTTGTTCCCAAGTTCTATCACTTTTTGCTGTAATTAATTTGAGTATCAAAGCAATATATCCATTTCTTGATGGAAATTCCCAGACAGTCTTGTGGGTGTGAAGCCAAACTACAGTGCATGGCACCCTCCAGCCTGCATGGACTTCATCTTGTGGAAACACTGCCATAGGATGAAGGGATGGCACAGCTGCAAAAGCAGTATCCATTGTAGGTGTGCATGTTGCTACAAGCACCCAAACGGATGCTGCTGCTTAGTCCTCTGGTAGAACTGTTATTTCCAAAATGTAAGTGTACGACGAGTATGTGACCTCATTTCACATACATGGAAATAGCATTCTCTGAACAATAAGTTAAATGTAAAACTGATGTTAAAAGCATGTTGGGACTAGCACGGAAATTTAATTGATGTTTCTGACAATGTGGTGGTTCTGACAATCTATTATGGAGCACTAATGGGCTTTTAAGCCCAGTAGAACATCATCTTCTTTTGTTTCAAAGGAGACTGCTGGGGATTAGATATGTCCTTGGATGCATGCTGAAAGTTCTAATTGATTTAAACATCTTTTAAATGCATATATATATATATAA